AAAAAAAAAAATGACTGAACTACAATTGGACTACTCAGAAACACTGAAAACAACAACTAATAGCTTCAAAATACTTAATGAACTGAAGAAAAATAAGAGGGGATATAAGGTCCAAACTAGCCTGAAAGGAAGAGCTTTCACTGCCAAATTCCTAACTACCCCATTTTTTAACCATTCAGTGTTGCAGAAATTAGTTTAAACATATCTTCTTTCTCGTTTACTTATCTTTACAAATTAGACAACAAGTGGCATTAATCAAAACCAGAAAAAAAAATAAATAAATAAATGATTTGCATCTTACTTTTTGACAGAGAGAAATTAGAAGCCGGTCTCTCTTTTTTTAAGTGATGCGAACTAATCTAACAAAACATTAAACCTAAATAAAATGGAATCACCAATAAGTGACATAAAATATCTACCAAAAAAAAAATTAAATCCATAAAAAAAACTGGGAGCTAAAATTATTATGTGTACCACTTATATTACTGAAAGAAACATCTTAAAACAATGGAACAAAAAGTAATTTGTGAATATATTACTCTATTCACTTCATATAAAAAGAGCGGCCAATGACTATATTAATCCTAGTATTGCATGCACAATCTCTGGTGGAAGTGTGAACAAAGTTCTTTAAAATGTTAAATTAGCAATTTTCAGAAAATAAAGGCCAAGAGGAAAACCTGGAATGAAAAATGGTAAATTAACGCGCAACGCCCCTTTCCTCGTCCTCGCTTTGGGAGCTGTCTTGCTGCTGCTGCGGTGCCTGGCTTTGCTGTGGTTGTTGCTGAAAATAAAGATTCTGAGGGTAAAGAGTCTGCTCTTGCGGCTGCCGCTGAAGCTGAGGTTCGAGAGGGAGCCCTTCCGGCTGTAGCTGAACCTGAGGTTCGAGATTGAGCTCTTGCTTCTCTAGTTGAAGTTGTGGGTGAAGACTATGTTCCTGCGGCTGTAATTGAAGCTGAGAATGAAGAGTGTGCTCCTGAGGCTGTAGCAGAAGCTGTGTGTAAAGATTGTGTTCTTGGGGCTGAAGCAGAAGCTGAGGGTGAAGAGTGTTCTCGTGAGGCAGAAGTTGGCGGTGAAGAGTTTGCTCTGAAAGAGTCTGTTCTTGCTGAAGTTGATGAAGATTGCTATGTTCTCGTGGTGGTGGTTGTCGAATTTCAATAGGGTTGTCAAATGAACCTAAAGCCAGAAGCTGATGAAGATTGGTGTCCCCTTGTGGTTGTTGTTGGATATCAATAGTGTTGTCAAATTGACCCAAAGCCAAGAAAGGTGACTTCGCACCCGCCATTTGGTGCTGCTGATAAAACCTTAGCATCTCTTGTTGCTCCCTCAATTGCTGCGCCTCAAACATCTGCTGCTGCTGCTGCTGATCCATCCCGCTTCGACTGGTTCCGGCTTCGTTTTTGAGGCCGTTGTTCACCCTCAAAAACGCTTGCTGGAACCCATCCCCACTCGGTCCAGCGTCATTGAACCTGCCTCTACTCGGTCCGGCTTGGTGCTGCTGTTGACTACGAAAATGGTGCTGCTGCTGGTAACACATCAGCATCTCTTGTTGTGCCGCCAATTCCTGAGCCTCATGAATTTGCTGCTGGTGTTGTTGCTGCTGATTAGGTTCACGAATCACTAATGGTGGGTTATGCGACCGGCTTGCCGGTTCTCTGATCACCAATGGCGGGGTATGTGAACCAGGTCCTGCCGGTTGCGACAGGCCTGCTTGGAGTTCCATCATCTGTGTCATGTTATACTGGTTGTTGCCGGGTTGTTGCTGCTGCGTAGTCGCGGGTTCGGAGATGACTGGTAACATTGCGGATGGGCCGATGTAGCTCGACAATTCCTTCTTTGCATTATATATATCTAAGTTGATTGCCTGGAGTTGTTGTTGGAGAATGGAAATGAGACCAGCAGCGCCATAAATTGGATCTTTGAGGCGAGCGTTAGCTTCATATACAAGCGAATTTGCCAAGTCTGTTCGCTGTGAGGGATTGAGTTCGCTGAGGAGTTTTCCGACGTTGCTTGCGCCATACACCTTGTGGACGTTTAGGAATTTCTCGGGCTGGTCTGCCGGAAAATAGGGCGCAAACACACAATCCGACGAGCATTTCCGCCGGAGATGCTTGCACGCGCCACATGGAGCACGTGTCATCTTTTTCCTTCAAATCTGTAAAAATCAATTCTAAGAAAAATAAATAAATATCACATTTTACCAATAACAAGCCAATTTTCAAAAAAGAAGAGAGAAAGGTGTATATAAGAAAATACACCCAAAATGTGGAAAGAACAAAGCTGCGTCGTGTATATATATGATATTGAATAAATTTTTAGAGAATTGTTACTAGTGCTCCATAAATGTACTCTGGCACTTCAACACCTTCTATTACTAAAAGGAATCATCAAACTATTCTTTGTTTCTTCACCCACAAAATGGCTTTTGACATATATTTTGTTCCTTAATTTCTTTCATCTAAGTTTTTTTATGTACAGTGAACCCTTATTAATTTCCTAATCACATAAATCATATAAAATTTGAGATTTGTCTTTGTTTATTCCCATCTTCCGCATAATCCCAAAAAGTAGTGTAGAGAGGGGTTTTTGGAGATGAAATTTATTTTTATTGCTAAAAACTTGTTTGGTTTTAGGAGGAACAGAGAGACTTTTTAAATTTAATTTTAAAAAACAAAAAGAAAAAAAAAAATACTAACACTCAGAAAAGAGAGCTTTCATAGTTGAAATTGCACATCAAGAGAGCATTTTGGTCATTTTATTTACTAAAACGAGGGGTTGGAGTCGGAGTCGCACAAAACCATACACAGAATCAAACACTGATTTAAAAAATAATAATAATAAATCATAAAAAAATAATAATAATAATAAAAAATAAAAAAATTGCAGTACACATTTTACTTCCAAAAACAGATTAAAAAAAAAAATCAAACAGAATCGTAAAGTATACTAACCTCTGATTACCATCTGGTTTCTCTCAAAAACCCCTCCGACTTAACCCTTGCCTCCCAAGTAAACTCTTGTGTCATCCACACAGAAAACAAAAACACAAATCGTCGCTCGATCCAATCTTCAACGGTTCGTGTGCCAAAGCGTGGCACTCGATCTAATCTTCGAGTTTAGCGACCCCAGCAAAGAAGAACAAGAATGAAAATTATTTATTACTGTTTTAAAAAAAATTAAAAGTGAAAAAGAGCAATAAACATATATATATATATATATATATATAACTGTATAATATATTTATATATGTGTGTGTGTGTGTATATTTATATTCATATATTAATATTCATTGTAGTTGAAGTTGATAGATCAATGAACTAATTGGGGGAAAGAAGGCAATGCGGTTTATTCTATGCCGTCCAGATGTGGAGAGAGAGTTATTGACCGTTTGATTGAAAAATGAAATTAGGTTTTGCGTTATTGCCCTCTGTGGAGGGTTTTAACAGAGTTAAATTATGGGCCTTATGGGCATTGAATTTTTGTAATTATCTCACATTTCATTAATCTAATAGATAAGTGAAAATTGGGCCTTGGATGAGAAGGTTCTTTTTGATAGCTTTAATTTTAACTCATAATTATCATCATCATTATAAAATAAAAATAAAAATAAAAATCATTATCATCCTTATAATGCATATCTATATATTTTCATTAAATATGTCAATAACACCTAATTTTATTTTTTTTTCTTATTTTATCATTGACCAAGTCATTTCTAATTTTTGCCTCACACTTTGATCCTATCTTCTTTTTTTTTAGTTACTCTTTAAAGAGTGCGTTTGAAATTTCTTTTCCACCATTTAAAAGTTATTTTAATTTTTAAAAATGGTTTTAGAGATGAAAAAAAAAAATGATTTTAAGAATTAGAGATTTAATAAAAATAAATATTTTTTTAATGAAGTTAAAATTGGAGCTTTAAAATTGTGTTTTGGGTAGACGTAGAATATTTTGAACAAAAAAAAAAAAAAAAAAAAAAAAAGGGACAATCTTAGGGATCTTTATTTTTTATAAATATAAGTTTATCCCCCTGTACTAGAAGGTTAAATAATGATTACCTAAATAAGTACAATGAACATGTTTTTCTATTAAATAAAAATCAAATACAAATAAAATGATACCATCAAGTCGTAAATATAATATCAAGCTCCAAATATTTGCTACCAAAACAGTGAAAATAGTTGGATCTTCAATAGATGGACCTGTCAATTGGGCCGGGTTGATAGAAGCTGAGGCTGCTCAAAGCTCAAACGGATTTCCAGCAAATTTTATCCTATTTTTATATGCTTGATTTTAGCCCATTCTATTCTCAGCCTACCAAGTTATTGGACTCACTTCACTCTACACTGAATATCGTGAATACATACATCTTAAAGCACACCTAGTAACACAATAGTAAGGGTTAGTATGATGCACCAAACTCTCGTTATTTCATAATTTAGAAATGATTAAGATGCACGTAGTCTATCTTAGACCGGACTTGAAACAATGGTGGGTTTGTGTAAGGTAAATAACCGACTACAAAACTCATATCAAATATTTGATGGATTCTTACCGATAAGGTCAACACCAATTACATGAGCAAAATTTATATCAACTATTCGATGGATGGATTCTCATCGATGAAGAGAATAAATTCATGTGACCGGTGCCATTTATACAGATTTTAGCTAAGTCACACAATCTTTCGTAATGGGTGTCGTTCTCACGCTCTGAGGGCGCTCCCGCTCTCACGCTCAGGGCTCTCTCACTTAAATTCTCACTGTTTGTGATTTAATTTTGTCGTTTTTACGCTCCAACTTTTAAATTCGCTCCCGCGACTTAGGATTTAAGACAATGATAATGATTGGGAGGTAAGGCTAGCCATGAGGTAGCCCAGACCATTGGACCTAAAAAATGAGAGGATGTGCGCCCCAATCAGTTTAAAAAACTAAACCCAAATATATTTTTAAGAGCCCAAAAACCTTGACAAACCCCAAATGGAACACAAAATAAAGTGACAAAAGCCCTAGAGTCCACAGTCCACACTCTATAGTCAGCTCATATTGGCAAAGCAACATTTCGCATACACAGAGAGATGTCGAAATGGTGGCGCGCCACCGCCGGCGGCCTGAGGAGAGCGGCGGAGTCGACAAGGTCGTACCACACGATACAAGCTATCCCCAGAGAGATCACCGGCAACAGAGTGTCCGCCAGGGACAGAGCCCAGGGCCGAATCCCCGCCATCGTGTCCTCTGAAAAACTCGTCCAAATAAACCCTAGCGGCTGCGGCTTACGCACCACCGTCAAGGAGGTCTCCAGAAAGCATTTCCTCACCACTGAGAAGAAACAGATTAAGGCCATCCTCAAGTCTGTTGAGCCGCCGTTCTTCTTCTCCACCACCTTCCCCCTCCAGATCCGCGCAGGTTCAGGTTCCTCCATCCTCCTCGAATCCGGAAAGGTCCTCCCAGTCAAGGCGAGTGCTCAAATGCTTATATGGATATATATATTTGTGTGTGTGTGTATGTGTAGAGAGTTTGATTTTTTATAACTTTGTGTATGTGTATATGTGTTTGTGTAGATTCACAGGGATAAAGAAACAGGAAACATTTTGAATTTGGTTTTTTTGTGGGCCGATGACGGAACGGAGTTGAAGGTTGATGTGCCCCTTGTTTTCAAAGGGGAAGACGATTGTCCAGGTTTCAAGAATGGTTAGTGCTTTGGCTTTTTTTTTCACTATTAATGTGTTTGGGCTCTTTATTTCTCTTTCGCATTAGGGTTCTATAATTACAAAACCCATGTCACATACTTTTAGATAGTGTTTTAACTTGGAAATGTCTAAATTGATGACATTTTGGTTATAACATTGAAGACCAGAAAAACCACAACTATGTTCAGTTGTGTGCTCTAGCAAAAGCTATGGTCTCAAGTTGGATATATTGCAACAAATTTTGGGAATTTTGATTATACCCCAAATTGAAACCCAAAAAAAAAAATAATAATAATAATAATAGAATGAAAAAACCTATATTCAGATATGTAGTCTAGAAACCTTGGATTTTGTATTGGACTAGTGCAGTTAAAGTAGTTTTCTTAGGGCCTGTCTACTAACAGGAATAATTCCTGATTTTTACTACCAATTCTTAAAATCTAGAATCAAAAGTAAAAATCATGTTTAATAAAATACTTTCATTTTTTAACTTTAAGAAAGTACTTTTTACTTTTGTGAAGAAAAGAGAAAGTGAGAACTCTATTTTATACACTGTAGCAAGGAATTACTTCCTGCTACATGCAGAACCCTTTAAAATTGGACGTTAAAAATATGTCGTTTATAACACAGACCCTTCTCTCTCGCGATGACATACCTTCCGTAAATTGGCAACCAGTGGATCGGTGACTCCACCGGCAACCAGTTGATCGTCGACGATACCGGCAACCGGTTGATCGGCAATAATATCAGTAACCACTAGAGCAACGAGATCTAACTCTGTCTCTGATAAAGGTCTCAAATCAATGGAGTTATGCCTGAATTTTCAGTTGCTTTCATTGTTCTCTTGGGATTGGATGATGCAATTCTAACTCTCTCTGTGATAAAGACTCGGGAAAGTCCTAGATAAACTATATATATGCCCAATTCAAGAACTAAAAGCAAAACCATTAAAAACTAACAATAATAGAATCAAACCATTTTCTGATTTTATCGCTGGAATCGGAGATGAAGACGGGCAGAATCTACTTCTTGATTCTGGCGTCGTCGTTGCCGGAGAAGAAGAGAGCTCACAACAACCCCAAAAAATCTTCACGGCCGAGAATTTTGGAGGACGACGACAATGTGGGGATGAATGAAGGAATGCTTGGTGGGTCAAAAGCAGAGAAGGAACAATTTTTTGCAGAGGGCTTTAAGAGAGAAACATCTGGTTAAGGCCGTGGAGGCTTAGATGGGTAAGGGCTTGGTATGGATCTAGAGATGGGTTTTGCATAGGAACAATTTGTTTTTTTCTTTTCTTGTGGTATTCGACTTTTGTGGTTTTCTTGGTTCTATATATGAAAATAAAAATAAAAACAAAATTATTAAACTTACTTTTGTTATTTTACTTTCAAAAATTTGAAAATAGTATAGATTTAATGAACGTATTTTACTTTCTATTTTAGATTCAAGAAATGAAAATTATAATTTTACTTTTGAAGAAAGTAAAAGTAAGAAAGTGAAAGCGTTAGTAAACAGGCCCTTAGTATTCCATGTTTCACAACTTAATGTACAATGGCTTTTAAGATTGAATAGGTTTCTACTTAAACAATTGCTGCTCAAGGTCTTGGTTCTCGACTAAGACTTCTGTGAATGAGTTTTTGTCCTCTTCTTTAGCAGTCAGTGATTTATTGATATACATTGCATAGTTTGAGAATGGTACTGGTTTCTGATTATTTATAGGTTATTTTCTTTGTTAGTGGTTAATAAATGATTTTATTGAATACTTCTGCTCTTTGAACTTAATTGGTATCAATTTTGTCTTGGTAGAGTGTATAGATAATAGGGTTAAATTTCACAATTATGAACCGGACCTCTTGGATATTGTGGAAGGGAGAGTTGGAGACAGAGGGAAGGACCGGAGATGAGGCAATAAATGGGAGGACAGTACTTACTTAAGTTTTCTTGTTCCCTCTTGACTGTTGTATTGGAAAAATGATCGGTATTTATAGTCATATTTGCACAGGGCATTTAGTTTGGACTACCATTCAAATGAAAAATGCACTCAAAATGCTACATCACACCGCTAACCTACACTAGACGCTATATGCGGCACTGAATTTGTCCTCTACTGTAATTTAGGTCATGGGACACAATGTGAGTGTCACACCTTGAATCTCGAAACCCAATGGATGTACTTCCTATTAATGCATAAATTGTCTAAGACTCATCACCCATAGCTTGTTGTCCTATTAATTCATAACACTTTTAGGGACTCAAACAATGTGGGCTGCCCATACTAATGCATAAACCTTTTAGGGACTCTCATCTAGGGGCTGTATAACTATTAAAGTACAATGATTCATCTCAATACCACAACCTATACTTTTCAGTTATCAATTATTTTAGGGTGCTTGATATTGCAATTTTCTTTTATTTTTTTTACCTTTTGTTTACTAAGAAATAGATTGTTATCTGATTCAAAGAAACGACTGTCAACAACTGAATAACTGATGCAAAAATTTTAGGATTCAAGAGAAAAAGAAAAATACATGGAAATAAGTGAACTGACTTGTTAAAAAAAATGCAAATCAGTGAACTGATTTTTATGGAATGGCAAAGAACGAGAGACATGATGCTCTATATCGTTTACTTTTAGATGAAGGTATAGTCAGAAAAAAGTTGGAAAAGGAAAAAGAGAAGAATTAGGTAAGAATTTCTTATGTATGAAGATCCAAATGCCTAAGACATTTTGATGCTTTTGTCTTAATGTGGATATAATGAGCCTATTGAGTCACTGCGTGGAGAGGTCATATGACCAATTCAGCATACCGTTGGAAAACCTGATAAATGGAAGGTGAATCGTATTTAGAGAATGAATTCAGTTTAAGGGTTGGTAGTTACTCGTTTTTAAAATCTAAATAGGTAGGCATGAGAGTCAATTAGTCAAGGGTTGTGACAGACTAGGGATTTCAGGAAGTCGAATTTGCGAGAGGCTGTCTGGATGCCATTTGGAAATGGTATCTTTCCACGTACTTCTTCTCATATCATCCATAACTAGATTGTGTTGTAATGGCATTTTAAAATGATACCTCTCCATATTTCTCTTCTCATAGCTTTTATGTTAACATGGTTCCCTAATGCCCTTTTACTATGTCCTGAAATCCTGAAAAAGAAACAAAAAATCACTGCTTGAAATTTCATCGATTATATATATATATATATATATATATATATATATATATATATATATTATTGGTATAAAAATCGGAATGAATCAGAATTATTCTTCTATGATTGATCGGTATAAACATCAACAACTCCGAATTGGATTAGTTTCTCCTCAACAAATAAGCGCTTGGGCCACCTCACCTTGGCATCTTCTGAGATGGAGTGAACTTATGTGCATGTAATTTCCATTTAAGCAATTAATATTCTACCACACCATCTACTGTAAACTTGTGAAATATTCAATTTATTTTTACTCATTTGTCAGTTCTATATATTATATCAACTGACTAAGAATGTTTTATGCATAAGCAGGAGGGCATCTGAACAAGATAAGAACTAGTTTGAAATATCTGTGCCCAGCAGAGCACATCCCTCAAAAAATTGAGGTGGACATTAGCGAGTTACAAATTGGAGATAGAGTGTTTATGCATGACATTGAGGTTCATCCATCATTGAAGCTTCTTAGTCGAGACGAGAAGAGGCCCGTGTGTAGGATTGTAGAACCGAAGTTGGAAAGTGTAGAACCGGAGTTGGAAAGTGTCGAACCGAAGTTGGAAAGTTCAGAATCTGCGCAGTAGCACTGGAGTTTCACCAGCGCATTCTACAAGTTGCTATTCTTGATTGCACTAGGTAGGATGCCCAAGCAGAAAAGCTACGTGACACTACTCTTCATAACGTGTTGATCCATGATCATTTTTGCGACAAAATCATTTTGCTGATTTGTTCATAATGCGTTGATCTATGATCATTTTTGCGACTTTATCATTTTGCTGATTTGAAGACGAGTTGAGTGGTGGGAATTGAAACCATTAAACTTGTAGCTATTAGTGGAAGGCACAAATAAGATTGTTGTTTGTTTGCTTTAGTTCTTGCAATTTTATGTAGCTTGTAGCCTCACATAATGTTAATACTAATTGATGTCCATATCAAGTCTGGACATGGACACTTTGCGATTGATCGCTTGCCTAATACCCAAATTTTCACAAAATCCAGATCTATGTTACCATGTTTAATCTGGGGCTTGGCATAGAAGAAAAAGGGCAGAAATGCCTTTCTTCTGATGCCTGTACAATTTTGTTACTCTGACCTCATGTAGGTCAAGAGCAAATTCTCTTGGGGTCATGCTCTAGAAATTTTCTAAGTAATTGCCCGGTACATATAGAATGGGCGGTAATTGTCTGGTATATATAGGATGAGGATACCAATTCAAAACACACTTGTCAACCCTTATCTGTTGAATGAGATAGGTCACCATTAGCTGACAGTAGATAACAGTTGTATGAGATGTTGCAACATTTGTTGTGTAACCATTGTTTCTGAAAAATAAAATAATAATAATAATAATAATAATAATATTGTTATGATGATGTCTGTTGAAAGTGGAAAAGAAGGTTAATATTTCGTGTGTGGGGTTGCCATTAGTGGATAGACTTCCATGTTATTTATTTTAATAACGAACTTGTTATTTCATTAGTGGTTACTTACTGGTTAGTTGTAAGAGATTATCTAATAACAAACTTGTATAGATTTAATTACCGGAAAAAAGATATTAGCTTTAGATAATTGAAAAATTAGCTTTAGATAATTGGGTGACAGACATTTGTTACAGTTTATGTTGCCAGAATTTGCAATCCCAAGAATTCAAAATGCACAAAGAGTCGGAAAAAAAAATAATAATAATAATAACAACGAATCCGGAAGTGTCACTAAATAAATATATTTTTCTTATGTGACATGATATTATTGATTAATATATAAGTAAGAATCACAGTAACAGTACAAAAAAGTCACTCTACAAATGCATAAATATAAATTTTTCATTCTTTTAACTCTATCTAAATCCAAAATGAATACACAAACAAATGTCTAAGTCCAATTTTTTCTTTTTTTAATTTTGACTTGATTAAATTAATTTATCATGAAACTACATCTTGACCATTAAATACAATTTCAGAGGCAAAGCGTGGAAGAATGTTGTAAAGAAGACTCTTGACCATATAAACTCACCGTACAAGCTCTTGACTGGTTGACTATTTCTTGAGGATTAATATGTAAGATAAATAACAATAATAATAAATAATCGTATTTGTTTTTAATGTTTTTAGTAAGACTTGGTCCAAAGAAGCTATTAGATTTATGAATTGGACTGATTCCAATTCTATGAGCACAATTTAAATTAAATTTCATAGTTTGACATTTTAACCACAGATATATATATAACATGGCTTTTATAAGGAAATATGCTTATGGGGACTTGTAGATTTGATTGTGTATGAATTATGAAATGAGTTGAAGTTAGTGATTTTTTTTAGTATAAATGGAATTACCAAGCATCTATTACAAGTCATGAATGTCTTCATATTTACTATATCACGAATCAATAGCGAAGAGTTTCTAATTAAACCCTTTTTATAAGGATGAATTGTGAAAAGACCCCATCAATTGTAAGAAGACCCCAAAACTCATAAAAAATTGTGATTAAACCCCAAAATTTATCTTTTGTTTTATCTTTTGTTTTGTGTTTATTATGTATGGTATCAGAGCCATTTTACAAAAAATTGGGACCAACTAATTTATAATTTTTTGCATGAACCGCACTGACAATAATAGTCAGTGTCCAAAAATGGAGAATCAAATCTATATTCTCAATCAGGTTGACCAAAAACTAGAACAAATCTCTATAAAAAGAGAAGATCAAGAGTTATCCAGAAAACTAGATTCTATCAAACTAAATCTAGAAAAAAAATTAGAATTAAGAAGAGAAGTTTTAAATCTAAGTAAGAAATTTGACTACATAAGTTAAGAAATAAATAATTCTTGGATTTCAAACCTATAAAAGAAAGTGGATCAAATCTTGAGAAATCAAGAAAGATATTCAACTAAAGCTCAACTAACCGAAGTTGTTAAAACTTTACAAAACAGTCACAAAAATCAAGGAAATTGGACAACTTAGAACTAAAATCACAGAGATCGAAAGGATTGTTAAAACTTTAGAGGTTGACCCAGATCAACCCAATCCTTCCGAAGAAAGAACAGAAAAATTAGCGAAGTCTATTTTTCAGACCCAAAGTGAAATCAAACCATTAATTCAAAGAATGGACAAAAGATTATGAAGAATTTTCAAGAACAGGTTGTCCAAAGATTACAATCTAAGGATAGCCAAGCCACAAGGGGCTATAGGTTACCACTCGAACAGACTTTTGAAAATTCCCAGCTAGCTATAAACCAAAACAATTGGTTAGTAGCAGTCATGATAGAAAATAGTGTATCCTTAAAAAAGGTTGCCCAATAAATGGAAAATCTTAAAAACACTATAATGGAGTTAGAAAGATCTGTTAAATCCTTAGTAAAAGGAAAAAAGAAAATTTTAGAGTAAAAGGTGTATCGAGAAGAAAGCAGGAAGAAGATTCTGATGGAAAATCAAAACATCCCAAGCGTTCCTACTATTCTAGAAAGCTCGGCTCTTGCAACCAGTGGAATGAATCCAACCAGTGACAATCGAAACCGCAAAAGTAAGCCTTGGTGTGATCATTGTTGCAAGCCTGGACATACCAAAGAAATATGCTGGAAAATTCATGGAAAGCCAGCCGACTAGAAGCCAAATAGACCATCTTAAGATAGAGAAGGTCGTGGCTTTGCAGCCACAACATATGAGCAACCAATAACCGAAACTACACCCTTTAACAAGGAACAAAATGAGATGTTACAGAAGATGTTAAGCCAACTTCAATCAAGCCTTGAAGCACCAGTCATCAGCACAGGTTCAATAGCACAAAAAGGTATATTTCTAAGTGCTCTTGGAGTAAAAATCGAGAATAAAAAATCTTGGATTATTGACTCTGGAGCATCTGATGACATGACTGGGATGCTTCCTTATTCTATAAGTACAGCCCTTGTTCTGAAAATTACAAAGTGAGAATAGCGGATGGTTCTGTATCCACTATAGTTAGTATTAGGTCAGTTATCATCTCAAAGACCCTGGTTCTAAATTCCGTTTTGTTGGTTCCTAATATGACATATGGCATGCTATCCATTAGCAAAATTATTGTGAATAATTTATTATTGACAAGTTTCCATCGAAAACCCAAGTCCACCACGTAGCTCACACATTAAAATCCTGACAATCAAGGTCACAAATCCCCATGTGTCAATGCAAGAACAATAATATAACATGAATACGAAATGATAAAACTTGTCAATGAAACACCGAAACAAAATGCAAGCATAAAAATGTCCAATTAGGACTATGTCCCTAATCATAAAACAAACATATATAAAATGACCATGTCACAATCTCAAAATAAATATACACTATATATGCAACTCCAATGCAACATAATGTACCCATGTATGTACTTGACACTCACATAACACATACTCACAATATTAAATTATATAAACCAAATAACACCTAAATACACATCACATAGTCTACATAAGGTAATCAAATAATCTATATATCACATAGGGGCCAAGTAAACAATGACACGCTACACTTCACTAATGATACTAGCATGTTAAACAAATATAACATATGAAAAATGCAGTATCTCGATCACCTCACAGAAAATGAAAGTTTTTAGTTAAACTTATTCGAGTTTTCTTTGAAGTCACAATGAGTTTTTTAGTGAGTAAAGATTGAATCTTTGAATAAAAATACCTCAATCAAGGTACCTATTATGTCACTATATAATGATTGAATCTTTGAAAGAAAATGAGAGTTTTGAGTTAAACTTATTCAAGTTCCCTATGAAGTCGCGAAGAGTGTTTTAATGAGTAAAGATTGAACCTTTGAATGAAAACGTAATACCCCTAATTTTAAAAGGATAGTCTCGGCATTTTAATTTTAATTTTATTGTCTTTTTATTTGTTTAATTGCTAATTTTGTTTGTTTACTTATTTATATTGTCTTTTTATTTGTTTAATTGCTAATTTTGTTTGTTTAATTATTTATTTGCATTTATTAATTGATATTTGAGTTAAATTGATTTAATTGTTTTTATGTGAATTATTTGACTTATTTAAATTGTTTAATTATTGTGCGTTATTTTCTTTAATTGTTAATGGTATTATTTGTATTGGTAATTCACTGTTTAAATATAATTCGTCTACTGTTAAACCTTATGGTTTCTTTACTTTTAGAATACACGGATGGGCCGACTAAGGTTTACATAAGGGCTCTGTCTCTAATATTACGAGGATTAGGGTTTTAATGTTAAGCCTATAAATACACCATTATGTTTTAGCCTAAGGTTTACGATCATAACACATAGCACATAAAACGTGAAGTTAGTTCTGTAAAAACAGAGGGTAGAGGGAACAGGGCTCTGTAAAGGCTGTCAAAGAGGAAACCAGAGAGGACCAAGGAAGGGTTGTGGTGGATTATCCTGGATCACTAGGAGGCTTGACAGTAGTTCGTGTTGCCAGAACAATGGACACGATGCCGAGATTTCATAACTGAAATCACAGGCAAGTTCTTTTCTTCCTCTTTTCCGTTGGCTTGTGTTCTGTGTACCTAGATAGTCTCTAGGAGATTAATTGACTATTAACTGAACCATGCATGATTTTTATATGTTTACTTTGATCATCTGTTATCTGTGAAAACTTATCTGCAATAATTCTATCATGTATGGTTTTTATCGTCTCTATTTTGGCATAAAACGTCACCACTGTTTTAATTTTGTTTTGAATCTTACTGCAATAAACCAAGGTCTGAATTAATACTGGATGTGATTTAAGATCTTTAAGTTCAATTTAGAGGAAGAACAGTAAAGTTGGAAAGGCCGGAGACGGAGCAGACGGACTGAAACGGAGCATGGTTGGGCTGGAGGCTCTCAGAGGAGGTGAGAACCGGCTCCAAGCTTA